ACAGTGGACCCAAAGTAACTGAAGTCCTGCACCTTTATGACCTCTGCTCCTTGTAGCCTCACTGTTCCACCGGCCTGCCTCTCATTCACACACATGTACGCTGTCTTACTATGGACAGAGGTGATGATCCAATAATCCTTAGTCGGGTCATCTGGACAGTTTCTTTTTTAAAGACTGGCTGTGGCTGCCTGCCTGGGAGGAGTCGACAAGGGACAGGACGGCCCTCAGAAACCATCTTAGCTCCATCAAACTGGTTGGTCCTCCTAAGGAGTTTACTGCTTGGTGGGGAAACAGTTTACTGGAACTCCTCTGACTGATGAAGCCCTCCGGATAGAGGGCGAAATGTCTCTATAAAAAAAGAAACTGTCCAAATGACCTGACTGAGAATTATTGGATTTGGTACCTGGATGATTGAGCATGAACTTTGTTACAGAGGTGATGAGTTGATTACTTGGGCCCAAGCAGGAATCACAAGTGATAGCGAAGACGACGACACTCCCCCACATCAAAAGTTGAGATTGTATAATATTTATTTTCACTTTCCATCATGAGCATTATTTTTATTTCCCCGAGTAAAAATTTCTGTTCACCATGACCATTTCTGATGACAAACTTGAGCTAATATTAAACATCCACACTTCTGTGTGTTTTCAATTAAACGTCCGTTTTGCTACGAGTGTGTGCAAACATCAGCCTCTTGAAGCTGCTGAATGCATCCATCATCCACCAGGAGTTAAGTCAATGTTTGACTGACTAAACATCCTGATGACATCCTGATGAGACAGACTGTTCGACTGAGAAAACTGTAACTAAACCAACGGCGTTGAGTGGAAGTGTAGAGAATTCATGATGCTTATTAAAAAAAATGTTGATTTATAAATGATGGTTGCTTAGCTGTTAACCTAGCCTGGCTATGCTAATGTGTATATGTATATACAGTATATGCAGAAAACTGGTTCATGCATTTGTCACGTCTAGACTGGACTATTGCAATGGTTCATTATCTGGGTGTCCAAATACTTCTTTAAAACGTCTTCAGTTAATCCAAAATGCTGCTGCCAGAGTCTTAACTGGAGTTAGTGGGAGAGCTCATCTCTCTCCAGTTTTAGCTTCTCACCATTGGCTCCCTGTCAAGTTCAGAACATAATTCAAAATCTTACTTCTAACCAACAAAGCCCTCAACAACCTAGCTCCATCTTATATTAAAGATCTTATTGTTCCATATTTGATGATGTTGTTTTGGTTTTTACGGAGCCCCGGAGGGGACGTGGGGGGATTTTTTTCTTTTGCGTTCCCACTCAAACGTTTTAGTGTTCCCTCAATGCTGTACTGTATGTAGCGTTACGTCACAGACAACAGCAACAATGGAACAGACACCGTATTTGAGGTTCATGCAGGAGTTTGTGACTTGGAGTTATATAAATGAACTGAGCTGAATTTTGAAATCAGCCTTAAATATAAGGATACCCAGTGTGTGCTGCAGTTTTACGTTGGATATTTCACGTTCATGCTCCGTGGATTCAGAGGTGGCTTCCTCGTTCCAGCTGATGCAGGCAGTCTGATTTCCTTCAGCTGCTCTGTCACTCCGAGGAGCGATGGTTCTCTTAGGGACCGGCAACAAATTACTGTATTTTCAGAGTATTTGTCAAAGCAGCATCATGTATCATAACTAAAGTTTTCTCAGTATATTTCTGCATGGTAATAAATCATGAATTTTCTCACTATTTAAAATCCAAAAGAACAAGGTGGCACTTGTGTTTCAAAATACTGTAACTTTCTTTTAAAGCATCAAAGTTCATGCTCAATCATCCAGGTACAAAATACAATAATGGTCAGTCAGGTCATCTGGACAGTTTCTTTTTTGTGGAAAGATGTTTCGCCCTCTATCCGGAGGGCTTCATCAGCAAACTGGTTGGTCCACTAAAGGAGTGTACTGCTTAGTGGGGAACACAGTTTACTTGGGACTCCTCAGACTGGTGAAGTCTTCTGGAAGTGTGTGCTGAGTGTTTTTAGTTAATGTTTTTCTTAGTTCATACCTTAGATCTTATTACTGTTTTTCTTTTACACACATTTTAATACTTTTGTTGGATGTAACTGGGACCCTGTGTACACAGTTTCATTCCACCACATGCACCACATGTGTTGCGAATGACAAATAAAGAATCTTGAATCTTTGAATCCTTGAATGAACTTTGATGCTTTAAAAGAAAGTTGCAGTACTTTTGAAACACAAGTGCCACCTTGTTCTTTTTTATTTTAAATGGTGAGAAAATTCATGATTTATTATCATGCAGAAATATACTGAGAAAACTTATGATACACAGTGCTGCTTTGACAAATACTCTGGAAATATATCTAAAATAGTATCATGGTGTTCAGGCCAAGCTTTAGCCCAGTAATTTGTTGACTGTCCCTAAGAGAACATCTCTCCTTGGAGGAGGGACAGACTGAGCAGCTGAAGGAAATCAGAGTGCCTGCGTCGGCTTGAACGAGGAAGCCCTGAATCCACGGAGCATGAACGTGAAATATCCAACGTAAAAGTACTTTTACCACTGCAGCACACACTGGATATCCTTATATTTAAGTCTGATTTCAAAACAAAACTCCATTCAATCCTGTCATCTGGACCAGTTTCTTTGAGGGAGGAACGTTTGTTGTCTGTGAGGTAACACTACATACAATGCAGTAGCTTATTGCAAGGGAACGCTAAAGTTAAAAAATATCCCCCATGTCCCCTCCGGGGCTCCGTAGCTTTTTGATTATTAGAGGGATTTTTTTTTCTGTAGTTTTGATCAACATCCTACATATTCTCATAAAATCTGAATGTATTTATTCATTTAAATCTTTGTAAAAGTGCAGGTTTGATTATTTTTATGATCTTACAGATATATGGTGCATCAGAACACAGAACGAGCTCTGTTCTTTATTCATACCTGCAAACTCACAAGGGATGAAAAAGGTAGTGCCTGCAGGGGGGAGGGATGTGACACCCCCCCCACCCAAAAAAAAAAGAAAAACTCTTTGGATCTCAATTATTCACATAAATTACATATTTTATTTGAAATTGGCCATTTTCACCAAAAAGCAACCAGTTTGCAGGTATGTTTTGAGTTCTGTGGACCAGAAAGACCATTCTTATGACAATTTATTTAACACATTTATTTATGCCTCTTCTGTTGTGACCCAGTTGCCATCCCATCATGTGGGGGTCTCTGCCAGCACTGAATAATGGCCTGGAGTTGTGGGGGAGCAGAGGATGGTTGAAGTCCTCCCCCCCAGGTGAATTGTTCTTCCCTGGATCGTGTTGTAGGAGACCGTTATGATAACACTTTGTTCTGACTATCCTGAGGTAGAAAAATTTAAAAAAGTTAAATCTGGTCCTCTGGACATTCAAAAAACAAAACAAAGCAAAACAACAAAAAAATGTAGAAACGTTTCGTCTTTCATCCGAAAGACTTCCTCAGTCTGAGGTGGAGGCCTCCGGGTTCAACTGTCCCCCCTTACAATGCTGTGATTGCTAGTATCACTCAGCCCTCTGTGAACAGTAAACAGCCATCAGTGTGCTAATGATCCATTGTTAGGCTGATGGTCCTTCTTGATCATGTGAGCAGCGGGTTTTGGTTGTCAGCAGCAAAACTGGTTGATCCACTCTTGAGAAGGTGCTATTTAAGAGACTGAACTGAATACAGCACCTCAGACTGAGGAAGTCTTTCGGATGAGAGACAAAACGTTTCTACATTTTTTTGTTGTTTTGCTTTGTTTTGTTTTTTGAATGTCCAGAGGACCAGATTTAACTTTTTTAGAGTTTGTTCTGAGCTAACCTCGTCCAAAGGGATGAGAGAGGGAGGCATGGGCTCATAGGGGTCTGGATCTGGTTCATGTGGACTGTCAGGAACACTGGACATGAAAAAACAGTATTTACTTTTGGTGTCAGTCCAATTTTTAAATGGGTGCCACAGTTTTGGACTTTTTAAGTCCGACTGTGAGCAGCATCACACCTCTCCTTGCTGAGGAAGATCTCCTGCAGAATGCTCATCTCCCGGTCTCGTCGAGTGAGCTTCTCCAAGCTGCTGGCACCCAGCGACCGGGATGCCCGTCAGAGTCAGGGGTCTGGGCTGGCTCCAGGGCACCATCTCCTTCATGGCATTGTGTGAAAGCTGCCGAGTCATCTCAAACGTCTGCCTGTATGTCCGCATCGCCAAAACCCTTGCTCTTGTTGACGTTGACTGCAGAGAAGAAAGGAAGTTTCCAACATCTGGGAGGATGTTTATCTCATGCTCTGACACACTCTGGACCATGTTGTCCTATGGTTCTGACTTACATGGTGCTCGAATGAGCTTGACTTGAGCTTTTTCACAAGAGGTGGAGCGTCTGAGGGACCAGAGCAGGACAGAGGAAAAGACCTGTTGTTACCACATCCACCCACCAAGGGAAAGCAAAGAGCAGCATTAAAAACAAGCAGCAACATTACTGTCAGTACGTCTTCATACACAGTATAGTGGCTAGTGATTTGTGCAATGCATTTTATATCTTAAATACCTCTTGTGACTTACTATAAAAATGTGTAAGGCTGGACTCCATAGGACACAGCTACTGTTTTATTACACTCAGGTCACAAACTGGTATTTAAAAGTTTTTCAATCATTAATATCATTTCATTAATACTGCTTTTGTATAAAGAAAAATGTTGAAAGCAAACAATCCGTTCTCATAAATTCTCCATTTAGAACGAAGGACCATATTTAATATAACAAACGTAACGAGTCATGAGGATTTTACTATCAGGCCTGTTAATGAGTCCAGGATACAGAGAAAAGAGCTCCTCGATCGATACAGTCGCGAAATGACCCACGTGATTTGTCACGTGACCGGAAAAGTTTCACTTGAACGGTTGTAAACAGTGAAACTTCTGCGGGACTAACGGTTCTGTCCAGTTTGCTTTTCTAGTTTTCGGCGACATGTTTGTTTTTTAAGTGACATTATATTAACGTGTCATAAAGTTTAGCGCTGAACTACACGGGTTTCATGTAGGCTAACCTCATTGTAGCCATGATATCCGTGTTGCTCCTCTTCCTCGTCGCGTGCGTGTCGGCTCGCTACACGGAGGACTGGACGAGTCTGGACGCCAGACCGCTGCCCTCATGGTTCGACGAAGCCAAGGTGGGGATTTTCGTCCACTGGGGGGTGTTCTCTGTCCCGGGTTTCGACAGCGAGTGGTTCTGGTGGCACTGGCAGGGTCAGCAGCCACCGGACCCCAACTGTGTAAGCTACATGTCCAAGAATTACCCGCCTGGGTTCGGATACCCGGAGTTTGCCCCTCGGTTTCACGCCCAGTTCTTCAACCCAGAGGAGTGGGCGGACATGTTCAAAGCCTCTGGGGCAAAGTGAGTCTTTAATCTTGTTCGTTTTGCAGATCACTTCCGGGTAGCACATCTTCTGTTTTGAGTCTTCTAAGTATTTATGCTCCTTCCAGGTATGTGGTCCTGACAGCCAAACATCACGAAGGATTTACTAACTGGGAATCTCCATACTCCTGGAACTGGAATTCTGTTGATACTGGCCCCAAGAGGGACCTGGTAGGGGATCTGGGAGAGGCAGTCCGCAACAGGTGAGTCCTCACTATCCCAAACTTGCTTCTTTATTAATATTTGCATAACTTGGTTGACCTTGTAAACATAAAATGAACACTGTCACAGTCCATCCATCCGTCAATCCGTTTTCTTGGAGCTGGTGCCCATACCATACCATTTTATTTATAGAGCACTTAAAACGGCGACAAGGCCAACCAAAGTGCTGTACAGACAGAACAACAGGTAACACACAAAGCAAAATACAAAATGAAGTAAATCAGAAATATAGACATAAAAACGATGCAGATAATGACGACTAACCAGTGTGTACAGGTTCAAAACACAGATCATCTGGTGTTGAAAGCTATTGAATAGTAGTGACTTTTTAAACGGGACTTGAAAACCGAGAGGGAGGAGGCCAGTCTGACAAGCAGAGGTAACTCGTTCCAAAGTCTTGGTCCTGCTACAGAGAAGGCCCTGTCACATCTGCGCTTAAGACGAGTTCCAGGAACTGTGAGGAGCAACTGGTCTGCTGACCTGTTCAGCAGTCACTGTGCACGAGGCAGGGGACACCCTGGACTGGTTGCAAGTCCATTGCAGAGACAAATGAGACAACCACTGACACTCAAACCTTCTGAGAGAAGCACTGAGTGCTGCCTAGTTTATCATAGAAACAGTAAATTATCGTAAACTCCTTCTTACAGGCTTTATATTAGTTTTATTTACAGGTAAGTTGTAAACAATCCCATTTTGCTAGTATTGGACATCTTTCTACCCCATCTCTTCATCCATCCATTCTGGGCAGTGGGGAGCTGGTGCTTATCTTCAACAGTAAAGAATATACCCATAGCAAAAGTTGAGTTTGAATTTAGTAAAAAAAGATTTTCCAAAATTAAACACCCCTTGTGCACCATCAGAGGTCGTTATCCTAGAATGTGAAAATGAAACCGCAATATGCCCATATATGCTGCACAATGATTTCTCTAATTAGCAGCAGAATTTGCCACTTTTTTTCTTCTTTTTGTTAAGGAAAGGCAGCGGTGATACTAAATGTGTAATACTTTAAATGTGCACGAGGCAAACCGTGTACTTTTTGTTTACAGTCGTCGGATTTGTTGAACTTTTTCAAACTCCACTGAAAAGCAACTAAAACTGAAAACACAAAGATTTTTTTTTGAAGCAGAACTTATTTTGATTCTTGTACAACCTGCACCTCTAAACAAAAGAGAGTCAAAATAAAAAAAAGAGAGGATAGACACAGAAAGGAACTGTCATTAGTGAACCACAAGTCCCAAGCTGTCAACCTAGAGGGAAACACTGTCGCCATAAATTTTACACACACACTGTGCTGCAGATAACACTTGTTTTTAATATTTCACTGCTTTACTTACCAATATCGGCGACTTTATATTTCACAAACACAATGAACATTGATTGACAGCTTACAACAAAGTGTTTAACTTCACACCTGAAGACTTGTTAGGTTAACAAGTATTAACAGCTGTTAAATGTATTTGTGCAGACTTAGTGAACGCACAGCTAGTATCAGCGCTGAAATGCACCTCATCAACTGAGCTGGGATTAGTTTGCTGCTAACAGGCTCCCTCATGTGGTCACAGCATTCATTACGTGCAGAGCTCTGGCTTAGACAGGTTTGAATAGTGTATCATCTCTGCAGTCATGCTTGCTTAGAATGCATTTCAAATGTTTTTCTTGTCAGGTTCTAATTTGTTTTTTTGCGTTCTCGTTTAGATCGCTTCACTACGGACTCTACAACTCCTTGTACGAGTGGTTTCATCCTCTTTATTTGAATGACAAGAAGAACGGATTTAAAACACAGGAGTTTGTGATGCGCAAGCTACTCCCTGAGCTGTACAACATGGTTGTAAGGTCTGCAGTAGTTACTACAGTTAATCAATGCACTTTTTATTCTATATATTTGAGTGCAAAATCAAATGAGACACAGTTAAAATGTCTTGTCCTTGGTGACTACATGGTGTCTTGTTTGATCCGCTGTCTTCACATGGTCTTGTAGGTACCAGCCTGAGGTCATCTGGTCTGATGGGGATTGGGAAGCTCCAGACACATACTGGAACTCCACCCGATTCCTGGCGTGGCTCTACAACGACAGTCCCGTTAAAGTTAGCATGTTTGTAACGAGAAGGCTACAGTCTGTTTTTCAGGCTTGTATTTAAAGTGTCCCTTCTGATTTAGGATACTGTCGTGACCAATGACCGATGGGGAGCCGGCTGTGCTTGTAAACACGGTGGCTACTATAACTGCCAAGATAAGTACACTCCAGGCCAGCTGCCCAAACACAAATGGGAGAAATGCACGTCTGTGGACACTCTATCCTGGGGTTACCGTCGAAACATGAGGCTTCAAGACCTTATGGACTTGCCTGCCATTATTAAGGTGAAAAAAAACAAACAAGCTAGCTAATCATCTACCATTTACTTATTTGTTTTTTATTGAGACTGCTTCTTGTTTGGTCCCAGGATCTGGTCAACACCGTGGCTCTTGGAGGTAACTACCTTCTCAATGTGGGTCCCACAGCCGATGGGACCATCTCCACCGTGTTTGAGGAGAGACTCAGGGGTCTTGGAGCCTGGCTTGAAATCAACGGGGAGGCAATCTATGCTTCCAAACCCTGGAGGGTTCAGATGGAAAACACCACTGTTCCCGTTTGGTAAGGCCCAAGACCTCAGTCCTAAAGGTAGTACAGTAGTCCCTCGCTACTTCGCGGACTCGCTCTTTCACAGTTTTTCAAAGTAAGATTGGACATGACACACAACTGGCTGATTGATGGATGAGCCGCACGAGCAGCATGGATTGTTTATTTAAAATAAATTATTTGTAATTATTTAGCACCTGCTGCACCTGTGTGCAGCCCACATGTGCAGGGAGAAGCTCCTCCTGCAGCATGTTGATCTCCGCTCTGCAGCGGAGAAGTGGGCATGGCTGAGAGCGGAGATCATAACATGCTGTGCTCTTTTTAGAGTTTAGAAACTTTGTGTAGAATATTGTAAGAGTGTGGGAAGGGGTTAAAATGCTTATATACATACATACACACACACACACACACACATATATATATATATATATATATACATATATATATACAGGTCCTTCTAAAAAAAATTAGCATATTGTGATAAAGGTCATTATTTTCCATAATGTAATGATACAAATGAAACTTTCATATATTTCAGATTCATTGCACACCAACTGAAATATTTCAGGTCTTTAATTGTTTTAATACTGATGATTTTGGCATACAGCTCATGAAAACCCAAAATGCCTGTCCCAAAAATTAGCATATCATGAAAAGGTCCTCTAAACAAGCTATTAACCTAACCATCTGAATCAACGACGTAACTCTAAACACCTGCAAAAGATTCCTGAAGCTTTTAAAAACTCCCAGCCTTGTTCATTACTCAAAACCGCAATCATGGGTAAGACTGCCGACCTGACTGCTGTCCAGAAGGCCATCATTGACACCCTCAAGCAAGAGGGTAAGACACAGAAAGAAATTG